CAGCTACATGTAAAAAAATGAAATTAGAACATTCTTTAACGCCATTTACAAAAATAAACTCAAAATGGATCAAAGACCTAAATGTAATACTGGAGAGTATAAAACTCTTAGAGGAAAATACAGGCAGAACACTCTTTGACATAAATTGCAGCAATATCTTTTTCAATCCATCTTTTAGAGTAATATAAATAGAAACAAAAATAAACAAATGTGACCTAGTTAAACTCAAAATCTTCTGCACAGCAAAGGAAACCATAAGCAAAACAAAAAGAGAACCCACAGAATGGGAGAAAATATTTGCAAATGATGCAACCGATAAGGGATTAGTCTCCAAAATAAACACTTTATGCAGCTCAAAAAAAAAAAAAAAAAACACAAATCACCCAATCAAAAAATGGGCAGAAGACCTAAATAGACATTTCTCTAAAGAAGATACACAGATGGCCAAGAGGTACATCCAAAGATGCTCAACGTCACTAATTATTAGAGAAATGCAAATCAAAACTACAATGAGACATCATCTCACACCAGTCAGAATGGCCATCATCAAAAAGTCTACAAACAATAAATGCTGGAAGGGGTGTGGAGAAAAGGGAACCCTCCTACACTCTTGGTGGGAATGTAAATTGGTACAGCCACTATGGAGAACAGTTTGGAAGTTCCTTAAAAAGCTAGAAATAGAGCTACCATATGATCCAGCAATCCCACTCCTGAGCACATATCCAGAGAAAACCATGGTTCAAAAGGATACATGCACCCCAATATTCATTGTTGCAATATTTACAAGACATGGAGGCAACCTAAATGTCCACTGACAGATAAATGGATAAAGAAGATGTGGTATATATATATATATATACAATGGAATATTACTCAGCCATTAAAAACCATGAAATAATGCCATTTGCAGCAACATGGATGGACCTGGAGATTATCATACTAAGTGAAGTAAGACAGAGAAAGACAAATATTATATGATATCACTTATATGTGGAATCTAAAAAAATGATACAAATGAACTTATTTACAAAACAGAAACAGTCTCACAGAGGTAGAGGATGAATTTATGGTTACCCAGGGGAGCGGTGCGGGGGAGGCATAGATTGGGAGTTTGGAATTGACATTTACACACTGCTACATTTAAAACAGAAAACCAACATGGACCTACTACTGTATAACACAGGGAACTCTGCTCAACATTCTGTAATAACCTAAATGGGGAAAGAACTTGTATATGTATATGATGTATATGTATATGTATAACTGAATCACTCTGCTGTACACCTGAAACTAACGCAACATTGCTAGTCAGCAATACTCCAATATAAAATATTTTTTTTTAAAAAGAAACATAGTATAAAATGATTCCACACTGATTGTGTTCCCAGTGCAAGTACAGATTCTCTCTAGATTGGCACCTCAAAGGATTTCTACTGATAAAGTCCCAGGGATTATAAATTCACAATTTGGAATAATTATATTTATGAGGAAACAAACCCACCTTAAGCAAAAGTCAGCAGAGACAATAAAATGCAGAATTAGACCCACAAAGACAACAGGTAGTGGAATTATCAGATACTAAGTTCAAAATTGTATGTTTAATATGGTTGAAGAAATAAAAGGGGGAATAAAAGTCTAAAAGGAAAACAAGTCACTCTTGTTTGGGCATATTTCAAAAAGAATCAGATATAGTAATTGAAGTGAGGAACAATGGAAACATTACATGATGTATGAGACCCAGTTGGGCAGAAAATTGGAAGAAAAATCTGAATAAATTTCTCAGTGAATAGTCCAGAAAGATTAAGAGATAGAGAATGGAATGATAAAGTTCAAATACATCTATTGAGAGAGAGAATATAGATAATTGTGGGAAAGCAATGTTCAAATGATGGCTGAGAATTTTCCAGAATTTATGATAAAACTAATCTTAATAGTCAAGAAGAGTATATTAAACTTAATCAATACCTAGATACATTTTAGTGAAACTGCAGAACATCAAAGACGAAGAGAAAATATTAAAACCAACCTGAGAGAAAATACAGATTACCTATAAAGGGTTGATGATTAGACATATAGCTAACAACAGCAATAATGGAAACAATAGGAGTTTCCACTTCTGGTCATTGTCAAGTAGCTCCTATTGGACCAAGCCTCCCACAGAAAATAACTACAAACTCTGGACAAAATAGTTTTTACAAAAACAACTATCTGAACATACTGGCTAGGAGAGGACTCGACATTCAGAAGGAGGATGATACTAGGTGAGTTTCCTGGCTTTAAGGCTAGCTTAAGGACAGACACTGGGCTGCACCATGCAGGGTGGCTGAAATTCAGATAGAAACCTCACAGTATTACTGGCTTGAAGGGCAGAATATGGAGTTTGAAGCAAACACAATCTGGAAAGGGAGATAAGAAATCTTAGAAAGGAAAGAAGAGTGAGGGAGAACCTCAAATTCTGTGTATAAACATTGCCTCAGTCTCTGAGTGGTGCAGACTTCAAGTAGCTCAGCTTAGGCTAAAAGAACTTAATGAAGTATTCAGTTGCCCCTTACCACAGGGAAGACAGAGTTTGCAGTTGGGGTTCAAACAAGTTAACTGCCTGCTCTAAGAAAAACCACACTCTTTGTAGGAGCATAACTGAATCCAGGGCCTCTACAGCATATCATTCAAATCGTCCAAGAGGCCATCTAAAATCACTCAGTATACAAAGAAACAGGGAAACATGAACCACACTCAAAAGAAAAGACAAGAAAAGGATAACAACCCTCAGATGTCCCGAATGATAGAATTTGCAAGAAAGGATTTTTAACGTAGTTATTATAACTGTGCTCAAGGACATAAATAAAGGAAAATACAGTTGACCCTTGAAACATGCAGGGATTAGGGTGCCGACCCTCCAAGCAGTGGAAAATGCACCTATAACTTATAGTCGCCCCTCTATATTCACAGTTCTTCCGTATCTGTGGTTTCACATTCATAGATTCAATCAAATGCAGATTGTGTAGTATTGTAGTATTTGCTATTGAAAAAAATCCACATATAAGTGCACCCATGCAATTCAAACCTGTTTTGTTCAAGGGTTAACTGTATGTTTATAATGAATGGACAGGAAACCTCAGCAGAGAAATAAGAACTATAAAAAAGAACTGAATGGGAATTCTGTACAATGAAATTTCAATATTTGAAGCAGTAAGAATAATATACTCAAAGTTTTGAAAGAAAATTAGAAATATATCTTTCCTCAATGAGGATGAAATAATGACATTTCTAGCCTAACAAACAGAAAGTTCACTTCTGTCTCATCTAGCTTTTATAAAATGTACTTGAGAAGAAGCATATATCTTATATGTAATTTTATATGTATGCTATATTCCCAATGAAATTTTTTTAAAATGCTACATCCACAGCAGAAGTTTTAACAATGTAAACAGCCTATGATGAAGGCAGAAAAAGACATTAGGGAAAAACTGTCAAAGATGAGAACAAAATTGTTTATAGCCTTATATATGAGATATTCCTCCAGACGAGGGCCTGAAGTACACATGATAGAAATGGGGAGGGCTCATGTCAGATAGAAAAGGACAGGTTCCTACTCATGATGGGGGTCACAGCTGAGAAGACAGTTCTGGCTCATCACGCATCAGAATGTACCGAAGAGAGAAAAAGCTTCAGGAGGACACATCAGGATGGAACAGCCTCAATCTCTGTTCTACTTGAGAATTTTATGTCACCCTTCACTTTTGTGGATCCTTCCCAGCTGAGAAAATCCAGGCAAAATATGTTGAAGCTCTTTATCTGCTCTGTCCTCTTTCTCTCTTTTTGTTGTTCTCCAGGAAGAGAGAGAGAGGTTTAGGAATAAGCATACATTTGAAGAATACAGAGGTAGAGGGAAGGAGGAAAAAACTTTTTTCCCCATCAGATTTCTGAGGCCATGTATATTTTACTAAAAGGGAAACTGTTGAAGATTGATTTCTATTTGCGAAAACAAAATGGTATAAGAAAATATTCGCAGGAGTCCAATGGTATAATTTACTTTCAATATGTTATCTGTGTATCAGGATTTTACACAGTGGTGAAATTTAAAATGTGATCCATGTGATCCATATTCGTAACTTTAGAGATGTTCTGACCAGAAGGATAGTTTTTTACAAATAATTCTTAACCTGGAAGGTCAGAATAGTAACAGCACATTATGAAAATGGACATAGCTAGAGATATATTCACATTAATCAGACCTCAGTTACAAATGAGGGTAACAGTATTTTTAACCACACAGTATTAAAAGGCCCAGGAATAACATGGAATGTATACATCAAAGATTCAGGTGATTCATGAAAATTACACAGTATGAATTGTATTTGTTGTTTTATGAATATTGGTGTGCCTTCTTTGGCTTTGCTCATTTTCTAAATGCAATCAGCAACTAGAAGTTTTCTTTTTTTTCTTTATTTGCATAGAAAATAAAGTTTTTCTCTTTTGTAAAGCTCCACAGGAGAAAAGGGAAAAATGAGTATTTCCTATGACTTTTTCATATATAAAAGGTTTTCCAGTTGGTAGACTTCTAAATCAGAGTTTAAAATTTGTGTTACACAGTAAGAGTCTATATCAGGTGTATATTGTTTATTTTGCCTGTTTTCCCCATGTATTGGGAAAGCAGTGTGCTATTTGGTTTTCCTAACATTTTCATTTTAATTTTCTATGATAGTATTAAACTGCCTTGATAATAAATACCAAAAGATTCCAATTCATATTTTCCTGTTATCTCTTCCTTTAGAGGTACAGTGGCAGTAAAATGAATGAAAGAATTAAAGTGAAATGAATTATTTTCTACTTATCTGACATATACTATGGTTCGCTCTGTATAATATTGCCAATGGATAGTTCTAGGACTGTGCTACCTAGGGTTTTATAGAGCTGAGTCAGCTGAACTGAATTAATGATTGATTTCTAAAAGCTTCCCTTAAGTAAACTTAATCTATTTTTGCCTTTTTACATCCTAGGTGCCCAAACCAGTAGATTATTCTTGCCAGCCCTGGTAAGTATTAAAAATGTTTATGTAGCTGAGTTGAAATACCATACCCTTAGCTCGAGGACGCCTTAAATGAGGGAGTAGTAAACTACATTCCATTTCCATTTGTCCTGGCTAAAGCTGTTTTCAGATGCAACAAAATACCATAATGAATTTATATATTGCTGACCTTTCCATATCTTTATCAGAGAGTGGTGCATGTGTGTGTACAAGCGCATGTACTTGGCTGTAAATCCAAAGTTTATACCATCCACAGAGAGGAATGGGACATGGGCAAATAATGTATATTGTATTTTAGAAGAGTAACTTTCATGAAGTTGAGAAAAAAGGTATGATTTCATTTTCTGAAACTAAAATTTAACCCAGAAAGGACAGTAGATCCTAAAAATACATTTTATAACACATAATATTGGAGGAGCAAGATGTGTCCAAGTCTAAAGTTTTAGGTCTCTGTGGAGCTCACATAACACTTGGAGGTTAGCAGTATCACTAACAGAAACAGGGAAGCAGTAGATAATGATTATTATTTTTTAGACATTGTGAGTTTAAGGGGAAATGATATCCTCAAGTGGAAAAACTATTCAGAATCTAGAATAGTTATAATCACTATATGATAATAACTAACATATTCTGGGTACTTAGTATGTACTTAGTATTTTACACATTTTGTTTTGTTTTTCCAACATCTGTATAAGGAAGGTTATTTTTATTATTTTTACAGATGAGGAAACAAAGGTTAAGGCCAACCAGCTAGTAAATGGTACAGCGAGGATGCCAAGTTATGCTGTCTGTACATTGGCACACCACCTGTTGAAGTACAAAACATGGGCATATTTACTTATTGATATTTGCTTCCTGAATTTTGAGTTTGGCTCCTCTTAAAATGACTGCATCTATTTTTATTTTCTTGATATTGAAATATACGTATACAAACTAGATATCAGGATATGTATATAAATGAGATATTCTGAGAGTATATAGTACTAGTTTAGTTTGCAGGTGTAGCTAACACCTGAGTTCTTTGGTATTTTAAATTCGGATTGTTTTCTGTTATATAACCGAAGCATGAAAAATGCCAGGTTACTGTAGGAATATATTTTCCATAGTATGAGATCCTCTCCTCAGCAGTCTTGCTCTCCCTCCCCAGCAATTTCTGCCTTCTGTGGTCATTGTCTGCTTTCTCTGACATCCCTCTCTGGGCTTCAGCACTGAGCTTGCTGGAGAAATTGTAGCAGGTCTGTAATGGAACTGGAAATCTTTGCTACATGTTTACCTGGTTTAAGATAAATTTGAGGTCTTACTTTTCGTGGAATTAAAGACTGTAATCCTGACAAATTATTTGGGGAATAGAGCTGATAGCATGTATAATCAAACTGAAAAACATCAAGAACTGGTGAAATCATGAGAGGGTGCTGATAGTTTCCTTCTCTTTTCTTTTACTATTTTTCATGTAAGTAGGCATAATAGTTACAAGAGTAATGATTTTAGAGAAATACTAAAGCCACAAACTAGATGGATTTTTTTTAAATGGGAGTATAATTGCTTTATGATGTTGTGTTAGTTTCTGGTGTACAACGAAGTGAATCAGCTATATGCATACATATATCCCCTCCCTCTTGGACCTCCCTCCCATCTCCCCCAATCCCACCCATCTAGGTCATCACAGAGCACCAAGCTGAGCTCCCTGAACTGTACCACAGGTTCCCACTAGCTATCTGTTTTACACATGGTAGTGTATTTATGTCAAACCTAATCGCCCAATTCATCCCACCCTCCCCTTCCCCCTGTGTCCACACGTCTGTTCTCTACATCTGCGATGGATTTTATGAAATAAACTAATCAGGTACCGGGGAATCAGTCAGGGCACAGGAGATTTGTTTTTGAACCCTTTGTTTTAAAATGTACCCTTGCCAATATGTAAAATTCTATTGAATATATGACCAGTTAGAAAAGTATTGCTCCTACTGATAAAAAAAAAAAAAAAATCAAGATGTTCAGATGAGGGAAGACCCTTGAAAACAGTAAGAAACAGATATAGTATAATTTCATAATTACTTTTTCTTCTTTTCTGAGCAACTTGGACAATTTCTTCACACTAAGCAGGCAGTTTCATGTGAAAGAACTTCTGCTAAGGAACAAAATGATCAACTATATCAGAAAATGAAATCTTCAATTTTAGAAATACTAAACTGTTTAGAGAAAAATTACACTGTGGTTCTCAAGTCATTAAGAAAGTGAATAACACCAACTGTATGGTGTATTTATTATTTCCACATTTTAAAACAAGTTGTTCCCATAAGGTAAACTTTATCTCTTTTATAGGCCGTGAAATAAAACAGAATTCAAGATGATTATCTGCAACAATCTATGTTTTGGGGTGTCATGATGGCAGGGATGAGGCATGGGGCTTAAATCTGGGGAACTGTCTGAAAATCCTTATGAAGAAAAGGATACAGATGCCAAGGAACCTACCTCATCCTCCAAGTAGTCAGGCAACTTCCCTTTCCCTGCCTTAGCAGGAGACATAAGTTAGAAGGTATATTACATGGAAAAAAATTGAGCCAAATGGGGCCTAGACTTGGAAAGAGCAGGACCAGCAGAGATTGGGAGAGCTGTCATACTGAAACCAGATGGGTCAAATTAAGGAAAGTCAATATACAGACTGATGATGATTCCCAGTTCCTTAGTGTAGCTCAATTTCAGTACTGTGACAGCTGTGTCTCACACACATGGACTACTCTCTTCTTGCAGCCAGATAGGAATTTGGAAGATTTTTCTCTAAAGAAACAGAACAGACTCAAAATAAAAAATCTAAAATCCAGCCCCATCATAAGGTTCTTGCCAAACGATCAGGTTCCCACCCAATGAGCCTCCCTTGCTTCCTCCACACAGAGCTTCCAGTCAGTTCTTGGCTTGGATGCCCTTCCTCTTAAAGCAGACAACAAGGAGTAACCAGGCATTTGAGAAAAGCCTTGAAGTAAAGAACAAATAAATGGGAAAAAGAAACTTGGAAGAATTACAGACATTAGAATGGGCAGAAGAAAGAAGCCTTAAATTTATATTCTCAGAATTAAGAGATGACAATGTATCCATAGAAGTGAGCTGGATGTTTTATAAAAGCAACAATCAGATAATAAGAAAGAGCTCTTCTAGTTAAGTATTGAGTACAGAAACTGGAAAATAAAGTTGAGTAAATCCTTCAGAAAAATCAAAGAGAGATAATATGAGAGAAAAGAAAGAGGAGGGGGCTTCCCTGGTGGCACAGTGATTGAGAATCTGCCTGCCAATGCAGGGGACACAGGTTTGAGCCCTGGTCTGGGAGGATCCCACATGCTGCAGAGCAACTAGGCCCGTGAGCCACAACTACTGAGCCTGCACGTCTGGAGCCTGTGCTCCGCAACAAGAAAGGCCGTGATAGTGAGAGGCCCATGCACCACGATGAAGAGTGGCCCCTGCTTGCCGCAACTAGAGAAAGCCCTTGTACAGAAATGAAAACCCAACACAGCCAAAAATAAATAAATAAATAAATAAATGAATAAATAAATAAATAAATAAATAAATTTTAAAAAAGAAAAAAAAAATAGAGTAGAAAAGTGACCTGAGAAGTCCAGCCTTCACTTACTAGAACTCCAGGAAGAGAAACTGAGAACAACAATTATCAAAATATATATATATATATATATATATATATATATATATATATATGCAAAAATTTTTTAGAACTGAAGGGTATATGGCTCCAAATCAAAGATGCTACCAAGGGCCAAGGACAATATTGAACCTTTTAGTACAGCACGTAACTGAAAGGCATATTAACATGAAAGTTTGCTACACAGAGAAAACAAAACATCTGAGAGTTTCCAGGGAGAAAAAAAATCAGATTACATACAAAGACTTGGAAATTAGGATGGCACTGAATTGGATGTTAGAACAGTAGAGCAATGCCTTAAAATTTGAGAAGCAAATAATTTCTCACCTATAATTCTATATCCAGCCAAACTGTGAATTAAGGATTATTAAGTAAAATATGTTCATAGATGTGAGGCCTTCTGAGTATTACATCCCATGTATTCATTTACAGGAATCTGAAGGATGAGCTAGTAAACCAAAAAAGAGGAAGATACAGAATCTAGGAAATGGGAGCAAAGGGATGTCCAGGGCTACAGTAGTTCAGCA